ATTAAACATTGCGGTCAGCACATGCTCAACCAAGACCACCCACCCCCCTAACATTGGAGGTGCAGTGCACCAAAAATATTATACTCAAACCGCCTCTACCCTCAGCTGACAAGTGTCATATGGCTGTATTTAAAACATTCTACTGGAAATATAATATTTATAAATACTGTTGTACTTATAGCCTTACGACTTTACTAGGTATAAATTATAATTGATATTATATAAAATAATTATATCTACTCCTAACTTCTAAAATATACCTAAATGAATAGTTTAAAAAATAATTCTATATCATATTAATATAGTGTATACGATATAATACATATTATGTAGGTATGATGTATTAAATTAAATAAATGGACATACGCATAAACATAATAGAATATTGTCTATTGATACTGCTATTATATTAGATCTAATCCCGAAAGAAATATTAACCTATAGACTAATTATTTATTTATAAGTTATAATAACACCTAATTAACTGTTTGAGAATCATTATATAATGACTAATGAGGTTCACGCATCCCATCACATACGTGTATTATGTATTAGGTATATATTTTACATCTTTATCTTATACGTATTATATTATGTGTGTAACCTAAATAATAACAAACATATAGCAAAAAAGGTATTAAGTACATATTTGTATAATATGTAGGTAAACTATAATATATAGTATATATACTCAACAAGGTTGTGGCTAGCCGGCTAGAGATTGTTTACAACTTACAAGCACTTTTAAATATTTTGTATGCCCCCAAGATAATTATACTTGTTTAATTATGCACTTATGGACTTTAATGGTTTATACAGTTATATAGTATTATTGTGTATTAATTTGTGTAATGGAGTGAATAAAAACTGGCCATGGACCAACGCACGGCACGAGAACCAATTTCAAGCTTATCACTGCTAAATATTGAAAAATATTTAACAAGTCGTTTATATAAAAACTGAATACTGCAGGAGAATCACTTTATTATAATATTATTATATAGTATTACTTATTATTAATCTTTTTAAACGTAATTTATTAGTAAGTTTTGTATAATTTTAAATTTTTATCACCCCCACAGTTTAGGGTCTAGTTGTACCTATATGCACATATATAGGTAGTGAAAATTAACAGTTTTAAAAGTAGTTTGATTTGAAAATGTTGTTATTTATTTATTAACATGCATTTGATAAGACATTTTTAAAATTATTTAGGTCTACACTGTATTCCATAATAATTATTGTCATAGTAGTTTGTTATTTTACTTGGTGACTGATTTCCGTTGTTGTAATACGGGAATCAAAATTTACCAAATTAATGTTTGGTACTTCATGTTATCATATTTATTGTATATTATAGCTACGTAAAAATTTTGTTTTAATTGTTTCAATTAAATATATTTTTGTAATAAGGTGTATGAGGGGATATTATAAACAGTATATTTGTACATACAATTTTTTAAAGTTATTTTGAACTTAAACTATGGATCCGAAACCAAAATTAACTAAATACGAGTCAATAGGTACCTACTATAAAACTATAAAAGTATGTGAAATCGTATGAAAATTTGGAAAATCGTTGGAAGGTCATTGAAAATCATCAAAAACATGTAGTATTTCAGTATTCCCTAGTTCTTCTCTCGTAAACGGAAAAAAAAACCGTGGTTATTATTGGACAGAAATATTTTGTGCGACTAAAAGAAAATACGCTGTATGTATGGGGAGATTTGATTAAATTCTAGAGATATACTACATAAGTATAGGCAATATAGCAGTATAAAACGGCTTATTATAATGGTAGATGACAGTAAGTTGTATGTGACTAAAGCATAACTAAGTAGGAATCACATGATTTATGGTTCAACCGGCTGTTTTTGACGAATGGTTATTATTATTATCTTTAATTGTATGTTGTATTGTTGTTTGTATAGCTCTCGGGCCAAACAAAAACTATAACGAGCTAGTCAAAAAATCCAGTATAGACAGTAGTTAATAAATAACTGCGGCGCGCACGACCCTTCAAGAGTGCATAGTTTCACTTCAACACCGTGGTTACTGTGTTACTGGCAACACTGGACCGGTACGTCATATTTTGTGACTTGGTACGTCTGGTTTTCACTTATCAGCATTCATCATTCAGCAAACCTTAGATAATTTTTTATGACAAAACTACAAAAGCATTAAACGATAAACGATAGACCATGGTTGACGGTAAGTTGTAATTGTTGTTGTAGGCATTTGATGTCACGATAACAACAGCAAGAGTGGCAAGAGTGCAATTTACTAGTCACTAGTCATAACTCGGTACGACACGTCCTACTAAGGTACAAAAAAAAAAATTTCGACTCATGAATCCATGATCGAGTTCAACATGACCACCACCACCACCAACAACAACAATAATAATAAATAATGACATCAACGGCAATAAAGACGACGAATAATGACAACCGTGACGTAAACGGTAGACCGCCACGTTGTCAATATAGCAATAATTTTTTTCCTCAAAACAACGTCTATTAGTCCTTTAGTCCCATGACCAATAAGGCTATGATAGCCAATCGCGTGTCTTCAGCTACAACTGATTAATGCTCATTGCATAGAAAATCGTTGACATACCATGACGTACGGGTGATCGGGGCGAATCTCGGAAATCTTTGGGAATAATTGTTTTTGTGTGAAAAAAAAAAGCTTGCACACAATCAGCGCCCAAGCCCCGACGAACGGGTTACGCGGTGGGGCGCGCCACATTATAGCTGCAGTTGTTGTTGTTGTAGCCGAGATGGGATCGAAAACTGTTCGAAAATCGAAATCCACCGATGCGCTCGGAGTGCTCCGCAACCGGTTTCCGTTTAACGGCAATTATCAGTAAAAAGTCC